TAAATAATATTTGTATTGTAAATCCAGAACCTAATGATAGGTTTATTAAGTTTGTTGAATAGATTGTTTGATAATGTTTTCATCCTGATAGAACACACTGATGACATCGTGACACTGATCTTCCAGTACATTAACATGTTGAAGAAGGTAGGACCACAACAATGGATCTTTGAGGAGTGCAGAGATGTTGCTGCAATGACGTTTCGCTTTAAAGATAGAGAGCGTCCACAGTCTCTTGTGTGTGATGTAGCAGAGATGTTGCATGTGAGCTATTACTTTGTTTTTGGTTTTCATGTTTTTAAGTTTAAAGTAATATTCCTTCTCTCTGCTGTGTATCTCGCAAATAAATCCTAGAACTTAAAGGAGCAAAGGTATTGCTGTTATTTAGAATTAATTTGAAAAATAATAAAGAAATAGTCAATGTATAAAATTTTCATAACTTAAGTATAGGATGTTTTTAGGATAGGCAAATGACTCAAAATATATTGTGAATTGAGAACTATTAGTGATTATATTAGTGTACATTTATTCAAATTTCCACAGTGTAGCATAATAGGTTATTGAAGGTTCAGATCTTTCTGGTATTAGAATAAACAAGTCATCAAAGTTATCTCAGCTTCAACTTTCAGTTCATACAGAGCTAAAACAGTTGTACTTTTAACAGTTTTACATCCTTAGAGACAATATCAAAGTGAAATGTAATTCTACATTTGGGGTTCATAAATATGGTTTTTCCTTTGTTCATGAACAAGCATTGGTCAGTTTGAATAATTTCAGCTGAGTTTTTTTTCCCCCTAAATTCAGCTAGTCCGTGTTTCTCAACTGAATTTCAAACACAATTACTATTCCACCCCACCTTTGTCACAGAGTTCTAGTGCATTTCTGAGTTAATCGTCTGTACCTTTCTTTACAAGGAACTTTGGGCTATGTTTTTATTGCTTTTACCAGAGCAGATCTAACCACAATAATGATGGAAACTTGTACTTTTTCACTTAAGTTTTATTTTTTTGCTTACTTTAAAAACAATCAGCAGGTTTTTTTAGATGTTGTTTTTTATCAATTTGATTTTTCGTAATAAATATCCTGATGATTTTTGTGCACCTGGTCAGCATTAATAGTTCAGTTTCCACATAATAAAGTTAAGGCAGTTTGTTTGATTTCACTGTTAAGTTTAGTAAAACATTTAATATGTCAGATGCTTGAATATTGTTTTTTTTTTATGATTTTCATATTGGATTTCCATTCCAGATGTATCCAATGGAAGATGTTCTCTCAGGACCATACTTGATGTCAGAGTATAGACCAGATCTCATTGAAGACTTACTGAATAGGCTTAGCCCAGACAATATTAGGTAAGTTGATGTTAACACTTAATGTACTGGATACCACATTATCACTAGATGTGTAGATATCAGTCTTATTCTGTCAACACTTGATGTACTGAATACTACATTATCACTAGATGTGTAGATATCAGTCTTATTCTGTCAGCACTTGATGTACTGAATACTACATTATCACTAGATGTGTAGATATCAGTCTTATTCTGTCAGCTCTTGATGTACTGAATACTACATTATCACTGGATACGTAAATATTAGTCTTATTCTGTCAACACTAGATGTGTAGATATCAGTCTTATTCTGTCAACACTTGATGTATTGAATACTTCATTATAACATAACGTTTTGAGAAACAGACCCATTGGTCCATCTCGATTGTTCCATCCTCTAAACTAAACTAAACCTAGACATGTAATCTCTGTAGTACACAAGTTTTATGTGAACAATAATTACCTGATTTTTTATATTATAATCAAAGACATTTAGATTTCTAATGTGTTTTGTTTCACATTTTTTTTCTTGTATATTTTTGTACATATGAAATTATTTCTGGCTATAATTAATACAACAGGACTATGCTAAAAATGCATCAACAGGATGCACTTAGAACATCGTGGGACAAAATTGTTTTGTTTGTTTTAAACTTATCCAATAGCTATTTTAGGTATATAGGATATCTGATCTACATGGAAAATTAACTAAAATGATAAATAGGTATTCTTTTTTAATTGTAAAGTATAATAAAACAGCACGTGATCTTGGTAAATTTTTTTTAGTGACACTGTATAGTTATAAAATTCGAAAAAATCTTTAACTCAGTTGTGATCTTAATTTTAATTAAATTGCTGATTCATCATAAGTGTCTGCTTCTAGAGTTTGGTAAGTCTATTTACAGTTCAAGATTTTGCAGCATAGCTCATTGCCTAATATATAACTTCAAGAAGCTGATATGTTTGAAATCATAAATTAAATCATTAAATTTACATAGTTACAATTTCTGTTCCAAACTGAACTATATACAAGTTACTTCTTGAAACAAATATTTTTATTTTCAAAAAGAAAAAATAATAATATATATATATCCGATACGATGAGTCACCTCCGTAGATTAGCTATTTTCTTCTTGAAGTTGCACTATTCTGACTTAAAGATTTTCATGCCACCAGCCTTGTGAAACTCCCACCTAAAATTCACGTGAAAACACAAGAACTTGTGCTGCTTGAAGAACGTAATATTGGTACCCATATAACAAATTTCATTTGTGTGTTGTTTTCTTCCAATTATCTTTCAGGGTAACTGTGAAATATACATTATATACATTATATAATATACCAAAGTACTGTGATGAAAAATGGGACATCAGAAATGAGGAAAGATATTTCAGGAAATCATCACAGTTCATGGTGTATAAAGAACTTATTAAATATTTGTCAGAAATTCTTGTTAGTTACTTACAGTTAAATGCCACTACTGCTGGCACCCAGTAGTAAAAGTACTAACTGTTGCAATTAAACACTATAAGACAACTTTTTATCTGTCACAATAAATGCTTGAGTTATTTGTTAATGTTTGAGATGTACTTAAACAAAGTGAACATACCTTGTGATAAACTCTTTAGTACAGTACATCTTTTCCAGATATCTTGAGTTTTAAAGTAAGGACAATAATAAAAACATACATTTCAAACCCAAGAAACCAATATATAGTACTTACTCTTGATTTAAGAAAATTTTTGTTGAAAGTTTCCTTACAAAATTAAGATTAAATCCATGTGTTTGAATGTAATCAGGGTTTCAGTCATTGGCAAGAAGTTTCAAGATATGGTGGATGCTAAAGAAAAATGGTATGGGACCGAATACAAGCTGGAGAGAATTACATCAGAACAGTTAAAGGTAATGTATAGTTTATCACTGCTACCATTTTTATGCTTTACAAGATTGAATAGTATATGGAAATTTAACTTGTATCCTAGCAAAATTCACCTGGGTGCAGTAAAACATTTTAATCCACAAAATATTACTCTAAACAGGAATAGAAATGTTGCAAAAGTATTTGAACAGAAAAAAAGTATTGTATTACAATTCTTTGTTGTACAAAATTTACAAAAATGTGTTAATTGTTTACATTTTGTAGAAATATATTGCTTTAATTAGTAGTTTCATTATCATGCTTAAAAGTTGTAAACCATATGAATCATTAAACAAATATATCATTAAAGAACATTTATTGTAAAAACGTAATTTCTTCAATTGAATATAAACATTAATAAAAACTACAAACCCTTTTTTAAATTGTCACTAATGCTAAATATATATTAAAGTAGTATTTTCCAAGCTTTAAATAGTGGTGTCCCTCTAACTCAGCAAAGTTTCCGTTTGACTCCCCCCCCCCCTTCACATTAAAATAATTTTTGCAAGTGATAACAGTAAAATCAACGTTTTCTTTACCAGCTTTTAATGAAAATTTGTTAATAATTTTTTTTTTTTTGAAGTGCATAAATGCAAAAGCAAAAAAAAAAGCTCTGAGAACAGTGTTAGTTTTGTTAGGTTATCATTGTATTACACTTTTCTGTTTCTTCTGCCATTATGTTTGGACTCTTCCTAGAAAATGAATGCACCCCTTAGCCACTGGTATGCACCCCCCCCCCCAAAAAAAAAAGTTTGGAAAACACTGTATTAAAGCAACTGCCTGGGACAATGCAGCAAGAAAAACCTGGGAGAAGAAAGACACACCTATGATAAACTTTTATCAAAATCTAAACACATAAATGAAAATTTTTCAAGTTACCCATTATAAATTGACTTGAAACATTTTCACATCTGGGTGTGTTTTAAAAATGGTTAGCAGAGCTGAAAACAAATGAAAAAAGGTTATAGATAAATATTGTATTGTGTTTTTAGATAATTTCATTTACAGAAACTGAATTTTCCAAGACCATATTAACAAAATAGAATGACAGTTTTTTCAATATCTTTTAGACGTAAGAAAATGGGAATATGTCGTACATCTTTCTGCTTTTGAAATAGTTTTAACTGTCAAAGTGCCGATGTCATGATCTTTTACAAAGTTACATTGAAAATTTAATTAAACTACTTTATTATCAATGTATATGAATAAATTTGGCATCAAAATGTAGTTAATAAATCAAATATTAATATTAAATAAGTTATAAGTTCTTAATTTTATAAGAAATTATTTTAAAAACTCAATCTCCCCTGGTATCAGAATCGTGACATTTGTTCTCTAGGTCTTCTCCTCTTTTTAATTTATTTTCTACCCCCCTTTGAGTACAGATTATAATGTAAATTACTCATTATAATATAGATATTACTAAGACAGGGTCTAATTTTTATAACCTTTAATGTTGTTTGTTTACAAAGCCATAAAGTAGAAAATCAGACCCATTTGCCATGCTTACCTTTCACATCTTCTCTTTAACAAATTGCCAATAGTACTCTCTACTATATCTTTTTTATAACAAATAGAAAGTCAAAGTTTTAATTTGATGGCTGACGTATAATACTACAGAGTATTGTCAATTTCATCTTCAGTTTGAAAGTATCTCATAGTGTTCAGATCTACGATAATTTTTTAAACCACTCATTTCTTAGTTAGAAAGCCAGTTAAATTATAATAATTATAGGACATTGTTTGCTTTTTGTGTGGTATTATTCTGTGTTCTTAGGTGCATTATTTAAGTAAATAAAAATTATTTATTGTACTAGTACCATCATTATGAAAAAAAAATTTAATTGTCAATCAACAGCAAATAACAAGAGGTCAAAGATAAGTACTACATTTCTTGTTTTTCTTGTATATTTTTTTATACATTGTTATAAAAGTAACTAAAATGAAAAAATAAACACATAAGGTTAGATTAGGTAAGATATGAAAAATAGGATATGCTTGCGAGAAGCTCATACATTACATCATTCAGTATGATAAAGTTAACTATGCATTCACCAAGTGCTTTACAACTTGTTTGGTGGGATTATTAGTTAGACACATTTCAAAGGGTAATGAAACACTAAAATTAAGTATAAAGAGATCTAGACTGTTATGAGTCTTAAGCTATTTAAAATAAACAATTGTAGTTTTCTGTAATTTAGATATATTTCATATTTTATTTATGGTGGTTACAAGGTCAGGCAAATCAACAGAGTCCATATAGGGCTAGGGTAGAGAAAATGACAGATAAAGTATGAAGTTTTACTGAAAAAAATCATTTGATACTTATTTAGGAGGTTTTAGAGGTTATGCTAATAAAATTTGAAAATTTGCTGATGAAAAGTATTTTTATTCTTAACATGAAAATCACTTTGCACTCAGAGCAGTCAACACTGACTCCATATATTCACGGACAAATTTTTAATTTAAAAAAAATGTAATTAAAAAAATCTGATTTTTTTTTTTTTTTGTACAAAAGAATCGTAATGTTTGCTGAAAGTTTACCAAATGTCGTGAAGGTACGCAAAACATACTAAGTTATAGTAAGGAAATTCTGGTGGTTACAAGGTCAGTAAATGTTTTAAATTTTCATTGACTGAATCACTTAACACACCTCTTAATTTAATTTTTTACTGACTTGAGTGCCTTAACACACCCGAAGTAGATAGTTTATTTTTTCAGTAACCAAATCTTTTAACACACCCCACAAATAGATTAAATTTCGTTTTTCAATTTCCTCATACATTAATCTGTTGAATCAATACCATATCAACAATGACACGGATCAGTAAAAAATTTGAACACTTAATTATAATCAGTATTTAGTAATATCAAAATAAAATATTGTTTTCAGCTTGTTACAATGAAACATTTTGCATAATAATATTGACATGATTTGACAACAATATAAGACAAAGGTTAATGGTTGAAGAAATTACATAATGGAGTTGTTTTTTATTCTTAGGATTTGAAATGAAAATATTTGTATGTTAAGGTCTGTTTGAAAGATAAATGTAAAAGGGAAATTATTTTGTATGAAGTAAAAACCAACTGTTGAAATTTATGTCTAACTTAACTAACATTTTATCCATCTCTTCAATTTTTTAATGTCAGATTTCTGCAATCAACAGTGTCGGATTTTACCTAATTCCAGCTCCATCATGCAAAAGGCATTACAAAAACGAGCATAGAATAGCTACAACCAGACTAAAAACCTATTGTTTCTAATATAAAGAGGAAAACATGGCTTCAGTAGCACTTAGAGCATAAACTTAACAATAAATGAATCGTCTCATGTGATGATGTCTTATGAGTCACCTTTTTATCATAGAATTATAATAGTGTGAGATACTTTATCCTGCTTGTGTTATCCTGATAATGCAAGCTACTAGAAGTAGTGTAATAACCCATTATCTTTACTCATTTGATGTGTATTAAACCATTATTCTTACTCATTTGATGTGTATTAAACCATTATCCTTACTCATTTTGTATGTATTAAGTCATTATCCTTACTCATTTGATGTGTATTAAGTCATTATCCTTACTCATTTGGATGTATTAAGTCATTATCCTTACTTAGTTGATGTGTATTAAGTTATTATCCTTATTCATTTTATGTGTATTAAGTTATTATCCTTACTCATTTTATGTGTATTAAGTCATTATCCTTACTCATCTGATGTTTATTAAGTCATTATCCTTACTCATCTGATGTGTATTAAGTCATTATCCTTACTCATCTGGTGCATATTAAACCAAGATCCTTACTCATTTGGTGCCTATTAAAACAAGATCCTTACTCATTTGGTGCATATTAAACCATTATTCTTACTTGTTTGGTGTGTGTTAACCCTTTCCAGATGGGTCACAGGTGAAAGGCCATGTCATCGTGTTTATTGACTAGCATTCAAAATTTTATTGAACTACTATTTCATGAGTTTATGTCAATAAATTTGGTATCAAACTGTAGATTATAATTCAAACTTTTGTACTATACCTCACTCAATTTCTTAATTTAAAAGTAAATATTAAAAAAACATAGTTAAACATTGATTTTTGTGTGTCACATGGTAT